CAAAAGCCCTGCTATATATGCATCATTGTTCAAGGGCCCTCTACAACATGATTGATCAAAACAACAGCCAGTATTATTATCGTTGCCTAGCCTCCCGGACTCCCGCTCCGGCTCAAACTCCTACTAGGGAATCCGTCGTCATCTTGCTCAGGAATGCCGACTCGGAAGATACTCTCACACCATTCTGCGAAGGTTTCCACGTCCCACACGGCATCCTCGCGGCCCTTACCCTTCTTGGAGACGAAATGTCCCTTGCTCCGTTCAGACGATGTATATTTGTCGAAGAAGTCCTCGTAAATCTGGATGACGCGGTCTTGTACCGCACCGACAAGAGTCTCTTTCATCCGGGGGTCGTCAAGATAGTCATTGAGTATTCTTCGTAAATTGGGGACTTCCTTCTCAATATTCTGGCATGTCGGATATATTAGTTCTCCTTGCTGTAAATTTCGCTTATCGATGAATTTCGCGGGTAAAGAGGCCGTCATCTTCGTTGCGAACTCGTTGATGAAGTCGTTGATCACGGTTCGGAGCCGCCCGTCAAGCTCTACCTTGGCATCAAGCATGTTCTCGACGACGCGTGGGAGGAGACCATGGCCGACGAGGCGCATGAGGTTGCGGGGGTTGAAGAGGCCGCCTCTTTCGCGGAGCTCCCAGAAGGTATTGGTGATGCCGGAGAAATCGAACGACACTTCTGGCGCGACGTACTCGATGTCGAATGCGACGATTTGTTGCTTCAGAACCAGGAGATGGCTCATCAAGAAGAGCTTCCCGTCCGCGGTGGATTTGCTTGAGATTTGAGCACTCGCCTGGTGCAGAGAGACGGTCGTTTGGTGAACGATCTGATGGGCTAGGTCGTCGAAAACAGTGGACTGTTGAAGAGACTGGTCAGCTTCAATATGGCAATTGTGGGTTCGCAGAAGGAGTTCGTACATTTACGAGACGGTATATTCGGCTGAGAAGCCAGATGGCTTTACGCAATGTTGGATACCAGCCACTGAGAGCAGCATGAGGCTCAAAATCCCACTTGGAGTCCTGCTCCAAGGTGGAGTCGGGATCATCATCTGATGGCTTCGTTGCCTTCGCCAGATGTACCAAGGTATCGGCAGGTACCACCTTCCTTCCGGAAATCTGATTCTCGGTAATGGTGAGCGAGACTCCCCTGTTGCGCGCAGGGTAATCGAGGTCCTCCGGGCGCGGCTTGAACCGTTCAATCTCATCACGCAGGAAGGCTTGCGCGCGGAAAACGAGACGAGTTTGCACATCCTCCAAGGCAGGTTGTATTAGTACGGAGAAATCGAGTTGATTAGCATCCGTCTGCTCCACCTCCTCATCCTGGTCTAGTAGAAAGCGGGTCTGTAAGAGGGTGCAGAGTTGACAGAGATTTACGATCTTGTCCTCGTGAATAATGCGAGGCCTTAGATGGTCATACAGAGGCTCGCAGACTGTCTCGAGGAAATCGTATAAACCTCCTTGGCCGTGGAACCATTCACCCCACAGTTCAAACTCATCCAAACACACACCACGAACGTAGCTAATGCTGGCACGGGCGAAAGCAACCAAATCCTTTGATGTACTCGGGGCTTGCGCAATATCGTAGAGCTTTTTTCGTACTAAGGGTATGATCAATTTACCGCGAGTAGCTGAAAAGTTCGCGTGAAGTTCATTGAGAAGACTCTGATACTCCGCTTCGCTACCCTGTTCGGGATCCAACGGTGGCACAGCTCTCTTCTGTATCTCGAGGCCGATTTGTTTCAATTCAGGAGCACCAACACGGAACTTGGCGTACAATAGGGCAGACATGGTTGTTTCGTTTTGCTGTTGGTCTGCAATCTTTTTCGAAACACTGGAATGTATATCTCGAAGTGTGGAAACAAAATGTCCGCGGATCAAGGTGAGAGCACGCGTCATAAGTAGCCTGTATCTGGATCGATACACACTAGCTTCCTTTTGCTCAGGCTGGGAGAGAGTCAGTCGACTCGCCAAAGTTAGGGCCCGACTGCGATACTCACATGCGTCTCCATGTAGTCCAGACATTCGTCCAGCCGCCTGAGCATATTTGAGAAGTCATGGCCACGAACGGTATTTCCAGCACCAGGGGCGTTGAGTCGCCTCGAAGCAGGGTCCAGAAAATCATAGTATCGGAGGTTCTCTTGTATTTCCGCCGCTAGCTCTGTGTCACGCTTTTGAGCAGATAAAAGCCCTTCGCATTGTTTCTGGAAATTCGATGTTTGAGCTTCTACGGCCTTGAAGGATTCCGAGAGGCTACTAAGGAGGTCGAGTGTGGATGATGTATCAGACAGAAGCGAATCCAGGTGAGACTTTGACATTTGTAGCTCTTGAAGGCAAGATCTAACCGCACGAGTGAGTCAGCATGGAAAACCACAGCGCATTGTGAGAAAGATTGGAATTGTTTCTCTGCGTACTGGTACTCGTTATAGCTGCTCTCGAGGAGGCCATTTTCGACCTCGCTATACCACTGAACGAAATCGAGCTCATTCTTGGCATCCGTTATAGACTCAATGGCCTCCGGCAGCACTTCAGCTGTCTCTGTCGTCTGAACCTTGAATTCTTTTGGCGGACCTGAAGGTGCAGTCTTCCGTCGAGCTCGCTGTCCCGCAGCTGGTTGAGGCATTGGCATTGTGGGGTTGAGCTTCGAGCCCACGATAAAGTCACGGAGGCTTCAAGATTGGCACCCCTAGTATAGTTTCAATCGACCTGAAAATAATCCATAAGTGAGAGGAGTCAAAGACACCTTGAAACTCAACCGTCTTGATCGCAATCGGAGATGAGACCGTCCTCCGTGGCCCGTTCGATTGGTGTTCTGCCGCATCATACCGCCCTCGATCTAGATCATTGACGCAACGGAGCTTCCGCAGTCGCATTTCAGCTTTCACTTCTGCCCAGTGCGAAACGACAAGCTCATCAAAGAATTCTCTGTAGCTCGTTATGCTAAGGTTTAGTTGATGGATATCTGAGAACATCATGTCGATGAATCGGGTCCGACAGCGTGTGACGAACGTCGTCACACTTTCATACCGTCTCCCGCGAACAGGCCGGTTGGCCATCGGATCATGGCGAAGGCAGTATGCTAGTGGTAATGGCAGAGCACCAGAATCATCTGCTCCTTCGTCAAATTGGCTTCGTACTTCACTTGGACTAGGTGGAACAGCTGCTGCTGCGTTCTTAGTGTATACCTTTGCGACCACCCGAGGCGATCAACTTGAGACTGCCATTGAGGCGAAGATTAACAGCGCTACGCCAAAGATTGCTGGGGACCTGGACTCGCAGTATGTGCAAGAAAAGAAGAGTCTGAAGAGCCCTGGAGTCTATCTATGGGGAACCAATGCTTATCGTGTTGTGGACCCTGACTCCAAAGAAACTGTGATCAAGACTCCTCGGAGGCTATCCTACTTTGAGGGCCAAGTGCTCCGAGACCTCAAACTTGCGGAGAAGTCTGGTGCTGCCATTACGGAAAATGGCGATCTGGTTCAATGGGGCAAAGGGTATTCGGAAACTGACTTCAAACCAACAAAGACATTGACTGGCAAGGACTTGAAGTCTTTGTGCATTTCGAGTGATCGCATACTTGCATTGTCTTCAAACGGAAGTGTATACTCACTCCCAATTGCTAAGAGTGACCAAGAATCCGGTCGGAAACCCAAGGAAGGCTCTTGGTTCTCATTCAGCTCTGGAAGTGCTGGCGTGAGCTATCGGTTGCTTGAACCCGCATTGAGGCTGGGTGAAAAAGTCACCGCCATCAGTGGTGGACTACAGCATGCGCTTCTCCTCACGAGCTCTGGCCGAGTTTTTTCGGTCGCTTCTTCCACTGAGAGCTATCCTTCTTTTGGACAACTTGGTGTGCCTGGGTTGACTTGGTCGACTCGACCTCAAGGGGCCGTGGATACCTGCCATGAGGTGAAGGCCCTCGGCAACTCTAAGGTTACTGAAATTGCTGCTGGAGATTACCATTCTTTGGCGCTTACCAAGGATGGAAACGTTTATGCCTTTGGCGACAATTCCTTTGGACAGCTGGGATCTGAATTCGACCCTGCCCTGCCATTTAACGATACCCCCACTCTTGTGCCGCTGAAGCTTTTCTACCCAGGCAACATCTGGCTTCCGAAGGTGACTGCGATTGCAGCTGGGGGTGCCAACAGTTTCTTCACCGTAGATGCTCAACGAATACTTGGCCCTGGCGAAGATCGTTCTACGGTACGTGACTTGGGCCGCATTACGGCTGACACCTGGACTTGCGGCCGTGGCATCTGGGGTGCCCTTGGAAACGGAAAATGGACGCACCTACAAGACATACCTACGAAGGTGAAGGCATTAAGTGGCCTGTTCGAGTACGACGAACGAACAAAGACGCTCTCCCCCATCCGCCTACGCAGTATCTCAGTCGGCACAACACATGCGTCGGCGATCATGGACAACAAAGCTCACGTTGACACTTCTGCCACGACTTCTCTGGAGAAGTCCAGCGACTGGGGCCACGACGTGTTGTTCTGGGGAGGAAACGAACACTTCCAGCTCGGCACCGGCAAGAGGAGTAATTTATCCAAGCCGGCGCATATTAGCGCGCCTCCAGATTCCGAACCGAAGAGTGCTAAGCAAGAGGCACGACTCCAAATCATGCCTCGTCACAAGGCCAAAGTGGGCACGCGAACTGTGAGCATGGAGCAGCGGATTGAGTGTGGAAGGCATATCTCTGCGATTTACTCTGCTGTATAATACTTGTCATGATCTGGCACATCTCTTCTCCAGCAATTGTATTAAAAGTTCATGTTCATTTTAGCGACGACCAAAGTAATGTAATAATCCTTCTCCGTTGACTTTGATAACGTCACTCGAGAATGCAAACCGAACAAACACTTCCGCGATATGGCTGGAGACGCTCGGACCAACACCTTATCGTAAAATTTCCTGAGCGGAAAAGAAGTCAAACCAAAGCGAATTATTCCGCATACTGTCCAAAAACCAATCAGTTCATTGTGTCCATTATGCCGCGTGAAAAGCAGAAAAGAGGTCGTCGAGCGGAGGACAAGGCCAAAAAAGACGCAGCCAAACGGAAGCGCGATGAAGGTCCTGAAGATTCGGCGGTTAAGAGATTGAAGCCCTCCACCGAGACTGATACTTTAAACAATGAAATCACCCAAGGAGCGGATTACATACCCCTGGAGGACGGCAGAAACGAGGTTTTCATGGACGATGCGCCCTCGAACGACATGCCTTTCTACGGTCTCCTGGACAGCGAAGAGCAGGAATACTTTTCGCGAGCCAACGAGATATTGGAACTGAACCAGTTCCAGGATGCGGAAGAGCGAAGGCTTTTCGTCGACAGTGTCTACAGGGAAGCGGAGGGGAAAGAATTGAAGGTTGCTTGCAGTCAGTCTTGCTCGCGGCTTATGGAGAAATTGATTTCGCTCTCCGACATGCGCCATATTCGGAGACTCTTTAGCAAGTTCATTGGCCATTTCTTGCATCTTGTGCAGCATCGGTTTGCGAGCCATTGCTGCGAGACACTGTTCATCAACGCAGCACCTGGAGTGACAGAAAAGATTTCCAAGTCGAAAGGCCGCAAGGCGGAAGTGGACGAGGAGGACGAGCCTGAACCAGAGTTGTCGCTGGCGGAAATGTTCATGAAGGTCGTTGAGGAATTAGAGGGGAATTGGGGTTATCTGTTGACGGAACGCTTTGCGTCGCATACAATCAGAGTCTTGTTACTGGTTCTTGCCGGGGAGCCAGTCGACTTGTCATCCACTGATTCGGTTGTCGCCAGCCGGAAGAAGGAAAGGTTGGGAATCGTAAACACGGACGCATCCGAGGAAAAGTTCGTTGCGGAGAGGCGTGGAGTACCAGAGTCTTTCGAGGCTACGCTGAAGAAAGTTATGAGTGACATGGTTTCCGGGCTCGACAACACCTACTTGAGAGCCCTGGCAACCCACCCTGTAGGGAACCCCGTCTTACAGGTGCTGGTATTCCTTGAATTGTCGCACTTTGGCAAGGCGAGCGCTAAGGATCCCAACTCAATCATCAGGAGGCTCATTCCGGATGATGATTTCGCGGAGAATGCTGAGAGCTCAACATTCGTCAGAGGCTTACTCTATGATCCCGTCGGTTCTCGTTTGCTCGAGACTATCATCAAGTCCATGCCTGGAAAGCTCTTCAAGGGACTCTACAAGAACATTATTCGCGACCGCATTGGCTCTCTTGCACGCAATACAACAGCTGGATATGTGGTTCTCAGGACACTTGAAAGGCTAGGAAAGGACGATCTACAAGATGCTATGGAGTTAATCATTCCTGAAATCCCTGGTCTCATTGAGCGATCTCGATTGATTGTCCCTAAAGTGTTGATCGAGCGATGCCTCGTTCGTGGGGTTGACACGAAGTCGCTTTCAGAGGCCTTGGAATCCGCTTACGACGGAGACCCGGCTCGAAGATTGGAGCAAATGCTCAAGCTTGACCCCCCGGCAAGTGAGGAAGACTCAGAGGAGAAGCAGAAGCAGTCGGGCAACAATCAGACAGCCGCCGCAGAGAAATTACACGGCTCCCTCCTTGCTCAGACAATGCTTACAGCTTCCGGGCCCATGAGCGGGCTCATTTATTCGAGCCTGCTAGCACAGTCTTCAGAATCACTTCTCAGATTAGCCAAAGATCCCACAGCCTCCCGTGTTCTTCAGCAGGCCCTGACTGTACCAACTTCAACATCTCAATTCCGGCGCCAGTTTACAACGCGCTTCTCGGGTCATTTGACGGAACTCGCGCTTGATAGCAGTGGATCACACGTTGTGGACGCTTTATGGCCGGCAACGAAAGACCTATTCTTTGTCAAGGAAAGGATGGCACAGGAATTGCTCAAAGATGAATTGACTCTCCGAGACTCTTTCGTTGGCAGAGCAGTATGGAGGAATTGGTCCATGGACCTCTACAAGAGACGGCGAGGAGAGTGGGCTGCGAAGGCGAAAGGCCTGGACAGTACTGAAAACGGCCAGGGCGAGCGACCTAAGTCTCGCATTGAATTAGCCCGGGCCAAATTCGCAGCAAAGGCAGCGGAAGAGAGTTCTAAGGCGCCGGTAGCTGCTAAGACATGATCTATAACAAAGAAGCGAAAGGACTGTGGTTGATTCCAGCACTGGCAGTGATAGTAATACAGCATGATTTGACAGAGTCCTTTCTGCATGTGGCTTGTCAGTAATCTATATTGTGTCTTCAGCGATTTTAGGTTTATGATGATAATAAAAGCATTTTCCTCTATATTCATATGGTGTAGAAGGGTTATTCTCTAAGAGCTTTTCCAGTGCTGCCCCTCCAACGTCTGCGGGGTCAACGCCATGCAATTTTTCTCTTCCCCTCATCCATCAAAAGTGTATATCACTTCAACTCTCTACTGAGGAGTAGTCCTTGCTGACAATGATGCTCAAACAATTTCTTTCAACGGACGAATATGAGCCCCGGTTTATGATGTCAGACAATCGGGCTCTGTCGCCATCGCAGCGGATCCGCCAGCCGTTCCGGAAATGGCTCGGGCTTCATTCAACTTTTTGCTAAACGGTTTCAACTAGACCATTATTAAAAACCTTGGGTTATAAGTTGTGATTATTTCTTGCATTTTTTCTTCTCTTTTGTATACTTTTTCTCAGATTTGCTTGTTTGAAATATCATAAAATTGTTGGAATAGATGTCCGTGTCCCAACCATCGAGTCGCGCCGATGAAGTGCGAGAAGTGAGTCAGTCCATTCCTTTGGCACATTCAACGGTCCATCGGAAGATCCTGCGCTACAACTCTTCTTGTGTTGCTACGTTAAGCTTCTCTTTGTGTCTTTTGCTAATCTGACTCTAGCTTCTGAGCGCCGTTGAAGATCTCCTCATCCCGTTCATCCGGTCCGCCGACGAAAATCCTCTTGGCCATGCGCAACTGCAGGATGGGGTCAATGGGGCGAATGGTGTGAATGGACACCTAAAAAATTCGCGGACAGCTTTAGTCGATTACAAGAAACCGGAAGAGCTCAGGGATATTCTACAACTATCGCTACCGGAAAAGGGTGCCAGACAAGACGGCCTGATTGAGGTTCTCCGCAAAGTGCTGAAGTATTCCGTGAATACATGGCATCAAGGATTTCTTGACAAACTATATGCCTCAACGAATGCTCCCGGTGTGGCATCGGAGCTGATTTTGGCGGCTCTCAACACGAACGTTCATGTCTACCAAGTCTCGCCGGCTTTGACTGTTATCGAAAAGTATACGGGAAAAAAGTTGGCTTCGCTATTTGGCTTCAGCGGTCCACGAGCAGGTGGAATTTCTGTACAAGGTGGCTCCGCATCCAATACCACCTCGATTGTCATTGCGCGCAACAACCTATATCCCGATACGAAGAAAAATGGCAATGGGGACTACAGGTTTGTGCTCTTTACCAGCAACCACGGCCATTACAGCATCGAGAAGGCGGCACAGATGCTGGGCTTAGGAAGCAGCTCCGTCTGGGCAGTGCCCGTGGACAAGCAAGGTCGCATGATCCCAGAAGAACTCGAGAAGCTTGTCCGAAAAGCACTCCAGGAGAACAGGACACCGTTCTATGTCAATGCAACCGCCGGAACGACAGTATTGGGCTCCTTTGACCCTTTCAGCGAGATCGCCGCCATCTGTCGGAAATACAACCTCTGGTTCCACGTGGACGGCTCATGGGGCGGCTCGTTCGTCTTCTCAAAGCGCCAGAAGCACAAACTCGCTGGTGCCGACAAAGCTGATAGCATCGCCATTAACCCTCACAAAATGCTCGGTGTCCCCGTGACTTGCTCCTTCCTCCTAGCCGCAGACATCCGCCAGTTCCACAGGGCAAATACTCTCCCAGCCGGCTACCTGTTCCACGGCGAAGACACGGAACCGCAACCCAACGGCGACCTCAGCTCCGCGGGAAACGAGCTCTCCGTCGATTCTCCAGAGGTCTGGGACCTGGCTGATCTCACGCTGCAATGTGGACGACGCGCAGACTCCCTCAAGCTCTTTTTGGGCTGGACATACTACGGTACGGAGGGATACGAGCAGCAGATCGACACGGCCTGCGACATCGCCGCACACCTGGCGACTCTCGTCTCCGAGAACCCCAACTTTATCCTCATCAGTGAGAACCCTCCCCCTTGTCTCCAGGTTTGCTTCTACTACGCTCCGGGCGGACAGCTCGTCCACCCGCGCGGCATTGTATCGAACGAGACCGAGCGCGCAAAGGCAAACAGCAAGGTCACGGAACAGGTGGCCCATGCTCTGGTGCACAAGGGGTTCATGGTTGACTTTGCACCTCCTAGTGGGGACGAGAACGCTGCCGGGAACGGAAAGTTTTTCCGCTGCGTGGTCAATGTCCAGACGACTCGCGAGACTGTTGAAGGTCTTGTGCGTGCTATTGAGGAAGTTGGGCCGGCCATCATCGAGAGACTTAAGGCTGAGGCTGCTTCGGTTCCTAAGCAGAGGCCCGGAGAACGAGGCCACGGACCTGTTGTCCACCAGCCTTAGATGCTATCATGATTCTGTTATAGTGTACGACTACTGCATATGTACAAATAAACAAACGAGGGAAGGGAAGAAAAGCTATAGATCTACCAGGGAAGCATTAGTATATAGAATTGAATAATACTTCATTCGTGAACGACCCAGGATGATCTTGAGCAACTACATTAGATTTGTTTACTATGCAGTGGCTAAGAACCAATCTCGACTCGTCGCTCAAGTACAGCTCTTGCTTCAGCTTCTGTAAGGGTCTCAATATTCAACTCAGCGAGAACGCCTCGAGCACTCTCGTTATCCCGGAATAGCCTCTTCTCCACCTCCCAAAGTCTAAGATGGGGTTCATCGTGCGAATCGGCGTCCTCCTGGGCCGCAGATACATCGCCAGACTTGGGAGTGACCACCGTCAGGCCTAGCAGTAGAAGACCGTCGTTGAGCTTCGCAAGAACTCTGATCGAACCTCCTACCAGACCAGCTGGTCCCAAAGCGACATCGACAACATTGCAGAGATTGTCAATGTCGCTGGCGAATTGCGCCGCTCCAGCGGCGGAAAAGGTATGTCTCATGAGGACGTTATTCCAAAGATTAGTTTGAACAGAGAGGAGGACCTGGCGAATGATTCGACGCAGCGGTGCTATGCCCAGTGCACGCGATAGGAAAGAGATGCTAGTGGATAAGGTTCGCATTGCAGGCGCAAGATCCGCCGACGGTGGTAATGAGGTTGCCTCGGAAGGTGAGGAGGTAGAAATGGTTGCCCACGCAGACATGCGAACATATGGTTTGAGGGCCGACTGAGTGTTTGAGATCAAGGTCGAAGTGAGGATCGATTCAGAACGCTGTCTGAGACGGCGATATGCGGATGCAGTTTCGTCAAACAGGGCTCCATCTGAGCTTGCACCAAGGCCGCTGCTATGGTGACCATTTGCGACCACCTGAGAGGTGCGAGAAGCAACGTCTGCTACAGACATAGAGCCGGCCACATTCCTCCCTCCGTCCTTGTTCTGTCTAACTCGTTCTTGTAGCTCAGACCACAGTTCGACGAAGAACACATCATTACTCCAGTCTTCCATCTTTTTCTCCAAGTACTCGGCGCTCCCAAAAACCCTGCAGAGACGCTCCAATCCAGCCACACCTTCCACACTTGCCTGCCCATCTGCGCCTTGTACTGTGCGGCCAATGGTAGATGTCATTGCAAGGTAAGCTTCAAGTGCGGAATGGAGGCGCTCGTGAAACTGGTCGAAGATTGTAATCTGAATGTCGATAAGGAACCGCAGTTTCTGACCGAAAGATGACAGAGGCCGATACCGTTCAGTGATTGTTTCAAGCAAATCATTTACGCGAATCGCTGCTTTGGTGGGTTTGGTTGCGGAAAGCTCAACTCCTTCATAGTCAATCTCGCCGCTGTCCGTTGCATCAATAATTTCCTTATAGCGGGCTAGTGCAAAGTCCTTCTCAACCTGAAGCCAGCGATCAAACCATCCCTCCTTGGTGAGAACCTCCCACGCCATTCCCTTCCAGTTATCCTCAGAGTATGGATCAGGCAGATAATTCCATGTCTCCCGAATCTCATTGTCAAAGGTCATCAGCTCGTGTACGAGATGGCTGAGCAACTGCGGATGCGCAGAAATGCTAGGAAGCAAATTCGATAATTTCTGCCTCAGCATCGGCATAAGAGCCGTGGTAAAGGCATGAGAGGCGTTGTAGAAATTCCATTCCAGAGCTGAGCCGACTTCCCGGGCCTTCTTGTCGAAGACAGGTTGCAGCGAAGAAGCGAAGAAACCTCCAAAAGTGTTGATCAAGTCCACGATGTGACCCAGGAAGTATTCTGGCTGTATGGAAAATTCAGTAAGTTTTTCAGCACTGGGAACGTTGTATTATACCTTGTCGAGTCTATTTGTTGGCTTGTCTCCGCTGAAGTGGTATTTGAAGCGAAGATTCAGCGGATGTACCATCACTTCCAACGGTAACAAGATCTGCGGTTCGACACTCTGCTGCTTCACATCGATATCACGTCCCGTGAGTTCCCTAACCGCGAATAACGTCAGAAAATCCAGCAGCGAAAAGAGATAAGAGTTGCGTACGGTGTCTGTAAATCAAGAAGCAATTCGACAGTCTCGATCCACTGTGTCCTCAGATCTTCTGGTAGATGAAAGTCTTTCGAGGGCCATTTCATTTGTTCTAGTGTTTTCTGGAGCCTCCTGGAAAAGTTCTCCTTCATCTGTTCTCTCAGACTAGAGGCCAGCTTTTCCAGGTAGTCGACTAGATGAGGGGCCGCTCCTTCAGCTGCGGGTTGAGCATCCTTCAGCGATTGTACAATGTTTCTCAGGCGCGAATACGGTTCTAGGGCCAGGCGGGGTGAAGTTTGTACGTTGCTCAAGGCCTCCTTGCTGTTTGAGTATCCGGTATCAGTGATACTGCCGGAAGGGAAATAGCTCGTTAGGTCCTCGAGTACCTCAATTCCTCTGCTTCCCTCAGGAGGGTGACATAACCCTTTGAGATCTCCAGTCGTCGGAGCTTGTCTATGCTCGCTTCAAAGCGTTTTGCTGCCTCATCGCTGGCGTCGGAACCCGTTATGGCTTTCAGTCGCTTATCGATATCCTTTTGCTCCTCCTTGAAGGCTTCGGCTCGCTTCCGTGTGGCTTCGGCATGGTCGTTGGAGGCTTTGGAGGCACTGAGCAGTGCTTGTTGGGCTTCTGCTAGCTGAGCCATCATGTCAGCAGCGGTTAAATAAGGAAAGAAAAGGTCAATCGCTTAGGAAGATGTGATGCTCGATCCCCTGGGCGCTCTACCTGTTTCCGTTGAAGCTCATGCTGAGCGCGTAGAGTGGCTAACAACGAATCAAGACTCTCGAAGTCAGCAGATATTTGAATCTTATCGTTCAAATAATCCTCAACTCTTGTTCTTTCATGCGACGACAGGGAAAAGGAAGGGCTTGCCATGGTTGGCAGTCGGGTTGCAGTTCTAGGGTGGGGATGTTGTCCAAAATCGTCATTCATTCCAGCGCCAGGTGTTGCGATCGATCATCATCAACGCCAACTCCGCCTTACGATCTGTCCAGCTTCCGATGACACAACGTCTCCCTGCTATCAATTTAGACATCATGTAATCTAAGTCTGAGGACCTCGGTAAATGCTTCCACGCAATTTTTTCAATCTCCAAAACTGAAAATGTCCAGCCCTGCCAAAAAGCGCAAAAGAGAGCCTCCGGAATCAACCCCACAGCGTTTTCGGAGCATAGCGTCATTCTTCCAGGGCCAAGCTAACAAGCAAGCCGAGAAGACGCAACAGATTGTTAGCTCTGCTGCTGAAAATGCAGCGGAAGAAACACTATCTGACGAAGCTCTTGCTCGCAAGCTCCAAGCGGAGTTCGATAAAGAGGATGCTGCGTCGGCCGTGGAGCCTGAGGTTCCAGATAATAGGCCTATCCAGGAGCCTTACGCCTCGATAGAGACAGATCTGGAACCGCCAAGCAAAGCTCCGAAGACACATACACTTTCATTGCAGTCTTCCGTTGGGACAGAGGATACAATAAGTCTTTCCATCCCTTTTGACCAGAGTCCGTTGACGTTCGACTCGACCAAATGCGCGGCAGAGTTGCAGGTCCACTGGGCTAAGGAGGGCGGAAACGCCTCATATGCCCTGTTGACCAGAGCATTTGTGTTGGCAAACGCAACGACTAGTCGAATCAGGATTGTTGACACCCTGGTCAATTTCCTTCGAGTTCTGATTGAAGGCGATCCTTCCAGTGTTTTACCAGCAGTCTGGCTGGCGACCAACTCGATTTCCCCTCCATACGACGAATTGGAACTTGGTTTGGGAGGCTCCGCGATATCAAAAGCACTGAAGAAGGTCTACGGACTCAATCCTCAGGGTCTCAAAATTCTCTACGACAAGTATGGAGATGCTGGCGACGTGGCTTTCGAGGCAAAGAAAAGACAGAGCTTCACCTTGATGAAGCCCAAGCCTCTGACGATCAAAGGTGTCTATCAGTCCCTGAGGAAGATTGCCATGAGCAAAGGCAGTGGTAGTCAGGAGTCGAAGCAAAGGATTGTGGAGAAACTACTACAAGACACTCGAGGTGCGGAAGAGAGTCGGTATATTGTACGAACGCTAGTTCAAAATTTACGAATTGGAGCTGTCAAAACAACAATGCTTATCGCACTGGCTCGAGCCTTTCTATACTCAAAGCCAAAAGGCGCGGATTTTACGATCCGTCCACGACAAGTTCTGGTGCGACTTAAGAAGGAGGAGCTCGCCGAAATGTACAACAGTGCGGAAGAAATTGTGAAGGCATCTTATGCCAGGCATCCAGACTACAACGACTTAGTCACATCCCTACTTGAAATTGGAGTTACTGAAGAACTCCTTCTGCGGTGCGGCCTGCAGCTTCATGTGCCTCTGAGACCCATGTTGGGCAGTATCACGAGGGATCTCTCTGAAATGCTAACAAAGCTGCAAGGGCGGGATTTTAGTTGCGAGTACAAATATGATGGGCAGCGCGCCCAGGTGCATTGCGACGAGAAGGGGAAAGTATCGATATTTTCTCGACATTTGGAAAATATGACGGAGAAATACCCAGACCTCGTGTCCTTGGTCCCGCAAATCAGAGGAGAGGGCGTCTCTAGCTTCATACTGGAAGGAGAGGTTGTCGCGGTAGATAACGAAACCGGTGAACTTCAGACGTTTCAAGTCCTGACAAATCGAGCAAAGAAGAATGTGGAGTTAGGAGCCATCAAGATCAACGTTTGCCTCTTCGCGTTCGACTTGATGTATCTAAACGGCGAGCCATTATTGGACCGGCCTTTCCGCGAACGCAGAGAATTGTTGCGCAGCCTCTTTGTGGAGACCCCAAACAGATTCACTTGGGTCAAAAGCCTTGATGCCACGTCCGCAGACTCCGAGACGGTCTTGGAGTTCTTCAAAAGTGCCCTCGAGAACAAATGCGAAGGAATCATGGTCAAAGTGCTTGACAATGTACCCAAGGCGAACCTTGAACAGAATAAGGAGGCC